ATATAACTTTCTCAATATTTTTATGTATTTTTCATTAGTTTTACCTTTGAATATTGTTTAAGAATGACTATATAAATATTTACATGCCTAGAAATGTATAAAAATTGGCATATTTATTAACTTTGAACCCCCATAACTTTTTATGGGGGCGAGACCGCCACGAACTTTTTATGGTACTGTGGTGGGGGAGACCTCCTCTTTCGATCCCCTCCGCCACGCCATCATCTAGACTTTTACCTAGTGGGGCTCTACTCTAACTTTATAAAAAAAAACCTTTTTGGGATTTGCACACCTTCAGGATGTTGAAAATGGAAAATGGAAAGTTCTACGAATTAATTTAGGAACTTTTTTTTGAGTAATATTTAAATTTGAAAAGTTTCTTTGGAATTTTTGTTTGTTCCTTGTAACCCTGTTACTCCTTTTTTTCTGTTTGTGTTATATATGCACCTTCTTTTTCAGTCAAGAACTGTTACTATAAAGAAATATTATGTTCATAGTTGAACTAAGTTGAAACAAATGAAATTTTAGTTTTTCCAGTTTCCCCAAGCTGTTATCTACTTTCACCCTGAAGATCAGCCAATCTCCAAAAAATTCTTTTTATGGAATTGGAGTGGGGTCTCACTAATGCATAATTACCGAACAGCTTATTTGAAAATTTAGATGGTGATGAATGATAATGACGACAATTTGTTTAAAATCTGTAATCTTGTCGGTGGAACAATCGCCACGCTTGTCTTATCTTCCTTCTCCTTTTTGACTTCGATCTATTGCTGGAATTCCCACACTTTCGCCTTTATTTGTTTTACAAAGTTTCATCTAGCTCATTCCCGTCTTTCCTCGTTCTTTCAGTTTTTCCTTCTACAATAGTTTTGAAGAATTTAATTCCATTCTTATTTATGTTATATTTTTTTGGAGGTAGTGTATAGTAAATGCGAGAGGAAATTACGCATACATAGGTATGCAATAATATACAATATACATATACATACATCTATTTATCGCAGTTTGAACTGAAAGAGTACATAATACCAACTGAAGCACGTCCAACGATTTAGTATGCTTTTAATTGAGAAAGTGTTGTACGATATAATTTCAGGAACATTTTAGCGTTAGTGTTTAATATCTGTGGTACTGAAAGTGTGAAAAACCAATGAAATAGTGTGTGGAAATTACCGAAGGTAATATTTACTTCCTATAATGTAATAGATGTAAGTTTACTTTTGTTTATATTCGTGTTTCAATTTTAAAACACATTGACTACCAAGCTACTAGGCCACATATGTGCACTCTTGTGAGTGATTCCCAGTGATGCCTATCTATCACTGGGTATTATTAGGTATTATCCGCGATGCATTTATTTTTAGAGTTCGTATCTGTACAGTGTGTATCACCGGTGATATCAAGTACTATATATATAATTATAACATACAAGATTAAAAAAGAGTTATACTTCGTATAGTTTCTATAGCGATGTGACCTTCAGTTTGACCGGCGCAAAGTAGAAAAGAACAGCATTAGGTCAGAAAAGGAAGGAGACAACACTCGGCCAAACTCTTAACCGGTGAGGAGCGTATGATCCGTACAGTACTACACGGAAAATTTAACCATTTTATCCACTACAATTGCATTGCTCAAATGTGCTGTTATTGGTACCATTTACTACTAAAATGTTTATTTATATTTGAAGACATACTAAAGGCTTTAACGCTTGTTTTCGACTCGCACTACTATTCATGATTGAACAAAACTTGTGGCAGGTACTGTATGAAAAAGTATGTTTAATGAACAAGAGAGTATAATGAGCTTTTTTCTCCCTACCTACGATTTTACCAGCACGCATCCAAGACATCGCTAGAGAAAGTAAATGAAGTATAATACATTTGTATGAAAAACTTTTGCCTATTTCATTATGCAACGTACGTGAATGTAATACACATTGTAAGTATTGAAAAGAAAGAAGATGATAAACAGTAATTTTAATGTGTTTATGAATAAATATGTTTAATAGTATAGATCCAAGCAGAATATCTAACTAGTGTTTTATTTTAAAATAATCCAAACAATATTACGTGTTTCGGGGTATGTTGTATATGCGGGTATTTCTGTTATTCCCCTGTTCATACTATACTACAGCGCCATCTACGAAACCTAAAATTAACATTAAATCAACCATTTGGCACACAAAAAATTTATTAATATTTGGCAACGGTATGTGCGCACTGGAGCACTGGATGCAATTGGGTATAAGGGTTATAACATGTGGTAGTACGGTAGCCAACGTGTTAATGCAGGTTGCAAACGCTTTAACGTTTTAATTGTTTTTGGTTAAAAAGTAGTGGGTGATACCAATTTGTGGGATTTTTATTAGGTACCTACATGTATTGAATCAGTCATGGAACTAGACTTTGACTTTGAATCCCCAAATGATGTTGAACCAGACTTTGGATACGATATGACAAATGATGATGGACCAGATTTTGAATGCGATATGATAAATGATGATGGACCAGATTTTGAATGCGATATGATAAATGATGATGGACCAGATTTTGAATGCGATATGATAAATGATGATGGACCAGATTTTGAATGCGATATGATAAATGATGATGGACCAGATTTTGAATGCGATATGACAAATGATGATGGACCAGATCCAGATTTGGGATTGGATATGGTAAAAGATGGTGGAAACAAAAAAAGTATTGGAGTAGGCAGTTCAAAATATGCAACGCCAATAACGAAGCATTCTTCAGTAAAATCTGCTAAATCATCCACTCACGAAGAAGAGTTAAAAAATATCGGAGTACGTAGTTCAAAAAATGCAATGCCAAAAAAGAAGCATCCTTCAATAAAATCTGCTAAACCATCAAGTCACAAAGAAGAGTTACAACAATGTGTAGCTAAAAATAAATATGCAACATTCAACGATATATTTAATAAAAACGGATCAGCATCTTTAGTGGCTGGTATCCACATCAATCCAAAAAATAAGCAAACCTTTTCTGTAGAAAAATTTCTGAATACATTCCTGAGTAGCGAAGAGAATGAAGATAGAACAATAGAAGAACTTATGCAAGTGGTACAATATGTCGGTTTTAACCCTTCTAAAACAAACGAAGAATTTTCGAAAATAAAAGTTGGTAACGAATTAGGCAACAAAGCATTTTTGATTTACTTATTTTTAACTAGAGGTAGTAATATAGATCTCATTAGAAATACTTCTGATAGAAGAACATCAGAAAAATTGACTAAATTACAAAAGATCTACAACTTAAAATCGAAAATATCAGACGGCGGTCCAACAGTATTGACTTTATCAAGAATAGCCATGACTAATCCCACAGTAGTTGCCTCCATGTTACATAAGTTCGATGATAATAACAATAAAGTGAAAAGACCCGTGACAAAAAAAATGCTTAAGAAAATTTGTGGTGCTGATTTTCCGTCAGTATTAATGAGTAATATTGTCGCAAGTCTTATTCCAAAGGACCCTAGAGTGATAAGTAAAGGCGAATCGCAGAAAATTCTCAACGCTATCGCTTTGTATACAGGCTTGGAAGCCCAAAAAACCAAACGTTCATTTTCCGAAAAAAATATACAAGAATGCGTACATTTAAACGCTAAATATGTAACTCTGGCGTACAAGTCACATTTTGTTAGCGAGAAGGAGCGACAAAGTGCGTTTAAAAAACCGTATTTCAAAAATGTTTACAATAAAGGAAAATTATCTCTAGAAGTGGTTAAAATAGATATGTATATGCAAAAATTAATCGATCAAATTAAAAAAAGTGATCCGTTTTTTAATATTTAGACCGATTGTGCGATTTTGTTAAAATATATGTATACTTATTTACAGTAACGTGAAATAAAAAAAATTGTAATCGAATTATTACTTTATTACGATTTGAAATTTACACGATTAAACATTTTTAGAGTTCATGAATCTTAAAAATTGGAAAAGTGAAGAAAAATCAATTTTTGTTATTTATTAATATTTTCTCGGGACAGTACATACTTAAAACATCAAGTAGCTTTTGAAAATTTCATTAATTGCTCACTCAGAAGTATTGATAAAAAGCGACTTTAAATAATGAATGAGGGGCTGATTATTTTTTTATGTATTAACATCTACTGTAATGAGAAAGGAAATAATAAAAAAATATTAGCTTTTACAGTGTAATCTCTATATAACGACACTTAAGGGATTGAACATTTTTCGGCGTTATAAAAAGTGGTCGTAAAATGGAGAGAAATAAAAGATATTGTTTTACTACTCTATAATAATATGCATTTACCAATAGAGTACACATTTTGCACACGAACATTATTATTCATACATTGCGTATAGCCTGTTATCTTCGTCTGATGTTTTCTGCTGCCCCAATATTTTAATTGTATTTTGTTACGCATCTTACTCATATCTTGGGATACTGCTGGATCAATTTGATTATAAAAAAAGTATTTTTTTAATAGTTTCGCTGCATCAAGTGCTTGTTTGATGCTTGGTGGAGGGACAGGATCGTCTTCTTCAACAACGTACACAGCTGCAGTTTTTATCTATTTCGGCAACTTAGAAAGTACTGCTCAATGATTTATAATGCCGCATTGTTGTCGTTAAATAGAGTGAGCGTGACGCTATATAGAGTGTAATATTGTATAGAAAACAATGTAAACCAACCAAAGTCAAGCAACTTCGACGTTTTAAGGAGTTTGTCGTTAAATCGAGTGACGTTATAAAGAGTTTACATTGTACTTTTTTTAAATTCTTAAAATTTGTTATTTGGGACCATTCAAGTATTACGCTTTGCTTATTCTGGTTGGCAACCCTACTTGTCTATGCTAAGAAAACGGAACTGTTGATTATGAATCAATGAAGTCGCCATAACACATTGAAAAATGCATGTACCACTGTTAACGTAAGTATGAGAGGGGGGGGGGTAAAAGCTTTGCTTACTTTTGCTAAGGAGGGGGATGAGAAATGTTAATAATTGCAAAAAACCTGCTTACACCTGAACGGCCCCTTCTCATGCGAGATTGATAAAAAAAATGGTAGATTTTTCGCACTATCCATATACAGTGTGCTGTGTGCTTAATAATTATCGATCCCGCAAAATATTGACGAATCTCCTATATTTACAGAACATTCAAAGCAGTAATAAGTTAGAGCTTCTTTTTAGATGTTAAAAATGGAAATATTTTCCACAAAAAAATTATGAATCAGTCATTTTTTCTTGGCATTTTGTTTGGCTCAAAATACGCCTTTTGGAAAATGAAAAATTTTGCGAATTCTTGAAAAATGATACCTTGTGAATATAATTGGGGGATATACATAGTTATTTAAATCTCAACTACGAAATTTTTGTATTGACATAAGACATAACAGTTCATTATGGAAAAATAAAAGAAAATTGACAAATTGACCATTTGTTTATTAGAAGCAAATTATATAGTATGACTCATAAACAAAGGAAAATTGTGCATTATGGGAGACTGATATGTCATCCAATTGCGAGTAAGTAATCTGAATTTTTATTTTTTCTTTTTTAGTCGGTCTAAAGCGAGCTAATTTTGTTAAATATGTTTATGTGGAACATAAATAGTTACCATAATATTGTATAAGGGTGCCAAATTTAAAGTTTGTACATACGCAGTTTAAAGGTTATTCAGTATTTACGGGACATCCTGTGCACATTTATACCAAATATGTCATATTATATATGTATATACAGGGTGTTCAATTTGGAACCCTCACCGCCAATATTTCGCCAGGGTAGTTTAAAACGAAAATTTACTTTTACAAAAGGGTGTCATCTGAATCAGATGTCCAACCTGATTCTTTAAGTAAGAAAATCCCAATTTTCTGTTACAGAATATGATTCTATGAAAAAACTACATTTAAATGTATTGTCAAAAAGTATTTTTTTGATGTGCAGACCTTATCAAAGTCCTGCACAAAGGCTTTTTTCCTAATCTTTCAACTTAATTTGAAGATATTTAAGAGTTATCGGGTCATTTTAATGGACAATACTTGTCATTTCGATAGAAAACTTGGTGAGTAACTGAAGATAATCATTTCTCTTAAATATTGAGTATTTAAATTGAGATATTAAAAAAAGCATTTTTGTGTGATTCGGATTAGATATTTTTTTACCTATCTTTGGATTGAAATAGAAAGTAGGGGCTTCTATATTAAAAAAAGGTGGGTAGGTGTCACGAGACATCACCAGGGTCCCGGACCTGGTATCGGATTACATAATTAAATAACTCCTTTAGAATCTAATAAGATTTGTAGAAGTAATTTTTCTATTTAAAATTTTCCTGGCGAAATATTAGTATGGCAGATTAAAATGAGACACCCGGTATGTCATTAAAACAGCTCATAGATTCGTTAATGTTTAGATTTATGTCTTACTGTAACCTATGTTTTGTAAGGATTTTATATATGTTGCACTCAAAAAATGTACTGTAAATAAAAATTTTTTAGTNTTAAGCTTTTGATCTAAATGTTTATAAATATAGGACAGTCATTATTTGTAAGTTCCATATGTGACATGTAGGCAACCCAACATACAGTATTATGTGTAGTAGTTGTCAATGTTAATAAGAATAATATTTTATTGATTTGTGAATTAATCTTAACATAAAGATGTATGTCGTCTTCGACTTTTTTTACAGGTCTTTTTATGCTTTACATTTGCATCTTTTCTATATAAAGCATTCATATATCTTTTATTACTGTTACGGCGTTGTTCATAATAAAAGCATTCTTTCGACTTTCTTTTAACTTTCGTCACAAAATTCGTCTCCACGAAAAGTCCTATGATTTTAATGGAAAAAAAAATTAAAATTATATGAACAGTTTCTGATATTGTACAATGGGCTGGTGGAATAAATTGTAAATATCGCTATAATACTTAGGTAAATTTTCGTTTTTTATTTTCTCCGTGTATACCAGGTAAATAAGACTTTTTTGTAGTGGTACTCACTCATCCATCTAAAAAGCGTTTTTCAGGTAATATAGACCTATAAGAACAGCCTTTATACTTTTTCTGCCGTAATAAATAGTTAAAAGCACAGTATAAACTATATTAGGTTTATACTGTGGTTAAAGTAAAAAACTAGCAAATTTTCGTGTATTATTGTATTTTAATGATAAATAAATAAAATCTAAGTATCAATTCACAGTAATCATGTTGTAGAGAATTGAAGAACCTACAAAATAACCTTTTACAATTGCCAAAATGTTAATTTGTTACCCAGCAAATGGTAAAAAACTAGAATTCTTTAACATTTATAATAAGCAATAACTATTGCAAGTTTTAATTAGCGACATTGATATTGTGTGGAAAGATACGTATAATAGTACTTAATAAGTGGTCAAAATTTCATATCGATTCGTTCAGTAGTTTTAGCATAATTCAAATTGTTTATCCCAGAGAAGCTATTTTTGCAATAAAGTAGTATGAACAATTTTGAATAGAAAATGGTTTAATGTATTTTAAAGCTTTGTTCAAAAAGTTTTGAGAGTTCAATTAGTTTAAGACAGTTTTCAGAGAATAGCGGGTGATATTTTCAAATAAACGTGGTTGAAAAGAAAAATTTCATATATTTACCAAATTTTCGTTTTCGCTTGTGCGACAAAAGAAGAAAATTTCAACACATTAATGTTGATTTTTTTTGTTCGATGAACAATTTGCCTTACCTGTTTTGAAAAAAAGTAAATAATTACACGGATTAGGAATGAAGTTACCTAAAACGAAAAATAAATAAGTATGGAAATCAAATTTACGCATTTAAAAAAATTATTTTAAACTTATTATAAGTAAAACGGAAAAAGTAAGATAAAAAGCATCGAAAAAACTTATGTGATTTACTTTCAAATTAATTATTCATATAATGGCACGTGTTAGCGTTATCGTTTAAACTTCATCATCATAAGGTCGTCAGTCCTAAGACTGGTTGAACGTACCTCCACTCTTTCCTATCCTGAGCTAAACTTCGCATTTCCTTAAAACTAGAACAGCCCACATCCTTAACTATTTGCGAACAGTAATCTAATCTGGTATACTCCTCTTAACTCCTGTTTCTGCCTCTAATATTTCCCTGGCTAGACTTTTATACCTGAGAAGATGTCCTACCAACCTATCTCGCCTATTTTTTATTATCTTACATTCTCTTATTCCTAGTACCTCTTCATTTCTAACATTTTCTATCCACGATATCCTCATCATTCGCCGGTAAGACCACATTTAGAACGCTTCTAACCATTTTTTCCGCTGCGCCCACCGTCCATGTTTCGCACCCGTACAGCGCTGCGCTCCAAACATACACCTTTAACAATCTTTTTCGAATTTCTAAATTAACCGTTCGCGAGCATAGAAGTGACTTCTTTTTATTAAAGGCGCCACGACCCTACGCTATCCTCTGCTTTATATCCCTACTACTCCTTCCATCCTCACTTATCAGTATTTTAGTTTTACTTTTATTTATTTTCATACAGTACTGATCTGTCAGTACCGCTTCCATTTTATTTAAAGCTATCTCTAGGTTCTCCTTGCTAGATGCTAATACTGCTATAAAAAGGACATAATGAGTTTGCAAAATATATTTTTAAACTTTTTTTAATGACAAAAGAAATTTAAAAGTGATGAAAACAAGGGAAATTTACGCTATCTATATAATAAATATTATTTGTTACATGTAATTTTCACCCCGTATTCATTCTACGTCATCAAATTATTTTCTGAACACGAGAATATGTATCGTGTTATGGGTCAAATAGCGCAGCCGTCGGTTTAACATTTGTCGGTAAATGT